ATACATATATATATATATATATATATGTATATATATATACCTTACCTTGCTTTGCCACAGTAAAATGCTTTCTGTATAATAAAATCACATAATATAGCACATCCCTCACTATTTGCAATCACGGAAAAATAACTTCATTGAGATAGAAACAAATGGAAACTAGAGCGATGTTAATATTAACAGTGTAAGAAATGTAGCTCTGTAAACATGCAGCGAGCTGTTGTCATCAGTTGTATCATGTTATGCAACCCGGTCTACTGGGAATAATAGCTTTTACTTCAGTAGGGAAAAAAAAGCTTAATTCCTGTGCCAGCAACTGTCCCCACGAGTCTAGTGATGATTCTAGGATTGGGGGGGGGGGGGTGGATTGTAAACCTTTACAGTTTTATTTTCATTGCCGCATTGTTCACAGCCTGTAATGCTGTCTCTTAGAGAGGTCTAACTTGGCTGGAGCGTTACTGTCAGATGAATGAACCGCCAGCTCGCGCTCACAGCTGGCGCAGCACCAGTCTTTACGCGAGCGGCATCATTGGTTGAGAACGCGTGCGTGTCACCGAGAAGACGGACGAACCAGTAAACAGCTTATAACGAACACCAGTATTCCTGCCGGTTTGGGTCCCTGTGATCGCTTTCGGCAGCAGCTTTTTTTCCCCCCTTTCTCCCGACCGGAGCTGTCCGCGGTGCTGAAACATGAACCAAAGCGCGGGAGCAGCGCAGCACACCCGGCGGTTCTCAAGTGAAGAAAAGGTAAGAAGAGTGGTGCTTTTGTCGCGGAATGTCAACCCTGCATGCATCATCACGTAACCCGTCGGCTGGATTGTGTCTCATGCAACTGAGTGGAGCTGTTTGCGTGGCCGTGGCTTAACTTCCAGAAAAGTCTCGTCTTGTGTGAGACACAGAACTCTCAGTGGGCATAAAGTTGGCGGCAGCTCGGATAAATTGCGGTGGAAGCAAAACTAAACCACGCGGAGGAAGTTGTGAAATGTCATACGATACTTGCGGACGGAGTGTGAACATTTGATCTGTTGGCGTGTTTCTTTTAGAAGGCACGATGTTGGATTAAAGATTTAACACGCAGGAAGGACAAACGGTGTTCCCGTTGGAGGACTCTCTCTCTCTCTCTCTCTCTCTCTCTCTCTCTCTCTCTCTGGAGCGCATCAAGTAGATGCGCTCCAGCCCTGATTTAAGTGCTTTTGAACACTACCACAGACGAATATGGAAGGGCAAATATCAACATTTAATATACAACAATATCAATATAAAATGTATTTATTTCAGTGAAACGGGTGGAAGTTACTTTGTTGCCTGGCTAAACGTGTGTAAATGTTGAAAATACTTTTAGAGGGTCTAGCAACCAGACTAGAAGTAAAGATGCTCCGGGAAGGTTTTACTTCCCATTACAGCAGGAAACTCAGTTGTTGGATGAGTGAGAAGGACAGCGGGATTTTTTGAACAGGACAGTTTGGCCTGTGGGTGGCTTTACATTGTTCACAAGGTGTGTATAACATGGGATGGTGTTTTATTTATTTATCTAAGGCTACATAGGACTTTGCTCTTACTCATCATGCTCTTTTTCCATTTTCAATGGAAATGAGAATTAATAAAACCTCCATTATAATGGATAATGGAGGTTTTATTAATCATTACAAAACAAAAATATTATTTAAATCATTAAAAAAATGGCAACCGGAAAGGACAAACTTACTTTAACATACAGAAGAATATATCTGGCATTCAGAACTGAATCAAATCCATACCCTCACAAAAACATGCTGTCATAAACATTAATTTTAAAGATTGCAATCATGTAATCCTCAGCAATGTAACTATAATCTGATTACACTTTTTAAAAATGTAATCTGGGTTTATTATAGTAATACATTTTTTGTAATTTAATTACATAATCCTGATTACATAAAATCAGTTACTACCCAACATACATAGAAAAATAAATAAAGTGGGTGATAATGATTAAAAATGACTATTAAACGGTGCAGACACCTTTCTGTATCAATATATATCATATGTGGTTACTATGTAACGTAATAGAAGGAACAAATAAACAGAAACGAGCATTAGTGCAAGACAAGTGTATTTATGTGACACCTTTCAACAACAAAGCAACTCAAAGCTCTTTACATAAGGCATAACAAAAGCTATAAAAGAAGATATCAAATAAACCCAAGGCAATAGACAGGACAAAATGGAGACAAAAAGAATGATAGAAAATACAAGGAAAATTAGCTCAAATGGAACAAACCAGAATAAACAAAAGAATGAAAAATCACAGTGCAGCTGTAGATATGACAGAAGACTCTCAAATGTGATTTAACATAAAGCAGTGGCAAACATAAAGCTTGATTTGAAAGGAACTGAAGGGTGGATACTGACCATTCACAGCTTTGTAATCCAACAGTAGCATCTTAACCCAACTGATGTTTTACTTTCCTGAACTACGAGCACTAAGAATACATGGTAGCATGAATAGGAAAATAAAACTATATGATCTGTGTTAAAGTCCCAGTGAAACGGAGGTCAGCGTGTCTTTAGCTTCTGTACTGTGACGTATTTCACAGTGAAGTGGAATAAAGAAGCGATGTACGGTTACAGGAGGGATTTAAATCAAATCTTTTGCTTTTGGACCACTAAAAAGTGGGCAGGCTTACAGTTTAGCACGATACAGATCTACAAAGGACTGTTGACGCAACACAAACACCTCCATCCCCTGTTTTTGGATCAGGAGGAGGACGAGCCTACAACTTTCCCGAACTTTGCTTGTTCTACCCGTGCTGCAGTAACACAGAGGCGGTTGAAGATCTGCAAAGTTTCCCGTAAATTAATTAAACCACACAGCCTACCAAATGTTGTTGCTCACTGAAATCCAAACAGGCATCTTTTCCCGTCTTTCTCCATATTGATCTTTTATCTTCTACAATCCACAAACAGTGAAGTGCGTTGTGGCTGGCTCAAAGTCTCAACACCATGTCAGCATGTTGCATAACCTTCAAGTCAAAGTACAGCTGAGGCTTCTTGGAGTTTGGTGAGCCATATGATGCTGAACAAGAGGTGAAGTAGGCGTGTTTGTGGCAGTAGATGGCAAGTCAGTGGATCAATGTCATCAGTCCCCTCTATATGTTCTACATATAATGGTAATAAGTCTAGGACTGAGAAGTCACTGGAGGTGTTGGATTGACAGACTAATGGACCAATGGACTGACATTGCTATTTCTAAAGACACGCTAATAGTGTGAAATGATAGGTTCTCTCTGAGGAACATAATTAATTTCAATCATCTTGGCTATATGCTAGACTCCATGCGTGTGTCATTCCATCCAGCATTGTGTATCCATTAAAACCAGCTGCAGAAAATGGAAAATGAGGAGAACTATGACATTGCCCCCGTGGGCTTTGAGAGAGAAATAAATGTGCATGCTTTGCTCGGGGCTACCCAGTTGTTCATTGTCATGCCTCCTCCAGTTAATCCATTAAACTGAGATTGTGAGTGGCACAATTTTTCTTTTTAGACAGAACGGTTTTTCTAACGACACATTCTGAACAATCTGAATGCTACAAACACAGTTTATGAGTTTCTTACTTCCTCACTGCCATCTGTCTGAAGCACTCATTTTGTCTCAGGATTACCCTGCAAGATTGAAGGAACCATGACAAAGGCAGAGGGGTCCAGATCCACTCCTTTCATTCTTACCTTTCAAATTTGTAATGCATCCAATGTCCATAGGCCTTTGCAATTGTTTTAGAAAAAAGTAGAATAATCTTATTTGCTGGAGAGTTTTTTTTCCCCTCCAGTGCTTTTAAAAAGTAACAAAGATCAATGAGAAATCAATACAATTATTTGCTGGTATTGGAATCTTTAAAAATACAGTTTGGCATATTTCATGCCATTATTGAAAATAAGGTGTTAGAGACCGTACAGGAAAGGAGGAGAAAGTGAGAGAACACAGAGTTGAGTGGAACACAGATCCCCAACCTGAGTCACACTAACGATGTTTTGGTGACCCTTTATTTCACAATTGCTATCGTTTCAAGATTAACTTCTTTAAAAGAACTGATATGATATACTGCTGTACATAAATATATATAGATATATATTAGGGGTGTAACGGTTCACAAAATTCAATACGATACAGTGGTGCAACGGATTAGCACTAATATATATACATATACAGTATATATACATACATATATACATATATATACATATATACATATATATATATATATATGTATATATAGCTCTGCACTGTCCAGGTTAGACAGTGAAGGAGTGTCCACTCTAAAACACTTAATAACCCTTTTACACTTAGCCACTTCAGGTGTCTTAGGACGATGGTATTGCTATCACATACCAAAAAAAAACCAAAAGCATTCAAGAAATCACTTCCCGATGGTGGTTACATGCAACATCTTAACACCTCCCAACTGTAACTATATCTGTGAGTGTCTGTGAGAGAAGCCTCTACAGGGCATGTTCCTGTGCATCCGTATCCAAAGCAGTGCAGTACGGCTTGCATGGACTGTTTTGGCCAGTTAAGAGGAACCCACCAAAACCCAGACCGGTTCTACCCAAACCTAGAATCCCTAAAGTTAGCAACTTTAGGAGTAGCAGGTTGACAAACCTTGGTACTGGGCTGTGCCTGTGCTTACGGTGGGATAACAGCAGACAAACAGGTGCTCTAAGCATCTCAATGTAGGTGTTTGTTCAGAGATAGCGTGCCAAAACTAACCTGACCCGCCAGATGCTTTGTTACATAGACACAGAAAGTGTCAGTGGAAACTCTTTGGTGAAGGGCAGGCAATTACAAAAAAATACTTGGCAGGTGGTTGGATGAAACAACTGTGAGTAAAATTCCTGCCAAAGCCAGTCGGGAGAAGAGCGAAAACATTTTTGGATCAAGAAAAGCCTTCAGTGCCGTACTTTGCTCTTCTTTCAATGAACAAATACTCCCTAGTTCTGACGGAACTGATGCTGTTGCAGCATCTACACCTAAGGCACACCCGTCTCTGCCAGTAGCTCCTTAAAGGACGTCGACCGGTCCGTATGTTGTCTTGCCTGAGAGAAATGCATTACTTAAAGCCTGACAAGATGGATTCATGCGATGTGTGATCCCGTGATCTTGTAACATTGCGAGACTCACAGCTGCTATGCAAGGTAATGCCATAACATGCACATGGCACTCACTTTCTCCGGCGTGGGACAGATGAACGTATCCCGGACTTCAAAGAACATCTCATGTTTTGCTGTGCAAATGGAACATCAGGAAGGACAAAGCGCACAGGGAGGGACAGCTCATTGTGTAATTTAAGGGAAATTCACTTGGCACATAAGGGCTCACCAGAGAGAGACCCGGGCACCAGAGGGAGCTCACACTGCGGGACAGATGGGAGAACAGTCGGGCCTCTTGTCGCCTAACTCCCTGCAGAGTCTTTTAAGGCGAATGTGACTAAACAAGAACCAAAAGCAACATACGGAAAGAAATCTGTGACACCGTTCCAAGTTCTCCAGAGGGCGCTCAGACACTCAATCGAGTGTGAAAACTCTTGCAGCTTTATTAATGTTGCTTTAACAGCAAGCAAAACCCACAGATGCATCTAACAAGCATTAATCAAGCAAGAGATCATTCTTGAAGGTATTCTGGAAAATGTAAGACATCGCTAAACACATGACAGTCTTGTTAAATAGCTCCTGGAACATGTTGAGCATCAGTTACTTTATGGCTGTAGAAATA